CGCATGATGCATTACCAGACAATGAGACGCGCAACGTGTGACGTTGCATCAAGGACCGCTTTTGTGCACTTTCTATGACCTAATAGGTTTCCAATATTCTACACGACATGTTCTCAAAAGTTTTGGCCCTGGGAAATCAAACGGCTATTCCAGAAAGCAGAATACCTTAGCTCCTAATGCGCTTTTCTACAAAAGTTTGTATATTAGTAATTTAGGTGGCGTAGAGGCAAGCCCTTGACGTCTCCTCATGAAAGGTGGCCACCTAAACCTGTTGGTTTCTGTTGATAAAGTTTATTCCTCCTCTTAATTGAGGTAAAACGGCAGTGTGCCTCACCTGTTCTGGCCGCTCGCAAAACCCCGAGGCATCCTTTACAGAACCCCAGAGTTCCGCGGAACTCAGTTGGAGAACCTTATTATATAGACTATCATTTCTGAACAAAGTAATATAGTATGGTTGATTTAGCTAGGTTCTTATAGAAGTGAACTAAAAGACGTACTGGAAGTGGAAACAATAAGCAAATTGAGATTACGGAAGTAAAAAATTCGTATGCGTGAGTGACCTGAGAGAAAGGTGGGGCTCTATTAGAATTTCAGCACGATATATAATCCATACTGTCAGCAATAGTTATTATCAGCATCATTGTGATTTATTAGGCAAAAAAAGAGCATAATCAAGTTCTGCAAAAGCAGAGAAGGGCTAAAAAGAAAGCCATGCTCCCATAACCAGAGTTCAAAAGCTCGATTCTTAATCAGTCGGGGCTAGAAGTCACTGAAATAGCAGCGATGTGACGGTGCACTGAGAGGATTACAAATGATGCGCTTGCTTTAATTACACAAAAGTACACAGCAGTCATTCAGATCAAACGTTTCACACTACAATTGTCAGCTTTACGCATTCCATTTCGATTGAGCATGTATGTTATCCATCACACAATTCAGGCCTCATCAAGTCGTCATAGGGAACCCGGACTAAGGTTTTCTGCCACATGTTTGATCTGTATGTACTTTTAAATACAACGTTTTCCCTCAATATATGATTTGGTTTCTCCTTTCTGAACAGGTCTATACTACCTGGCGACTGGACCTATACATGGACAAGGTGGTCTCGAGGAAGCAGTTCTTCTGAGACAAAAAATTTTGCTAGATCCTCTTCCATTCTGTCTTTGATTTGCGCATTAACACCTTACAAGCTCAGGCAAACACGCGCACAAACACGACCGATACATCAGACGGCCCAAGTCGCAATTAAAACCCCACATGGCGTTTTTACCAGCCACGAGGGTGGACCAAGGTGCCTTATGTAGGTTATTTAAAAGGCCACTCACCAGGTTTGACAATTTTCAGCTAACAAGCGCAATGCGTAGAAACATTTCTAAAACCAAGGAGGTTACGCCCAGCGAGTATAACGTAGCAACCCTTTCTTGTCTGATAATGCTCAATGTAAATGCCAATGGCTGCTCATGGCGAATCAGAGACAGGAAAATCGGCATTTAGTTAACGCACACGCTGCGAATTTTTTATTGTTCAACAACGCTGGTAGGAGAAACAGACTGGCGCGGGATTTGCAAAAGAAAATCGGCAAGTGCAAAAAAGTGGCCTTCGTTGACGTGGCTCGTTACGCGCGCAAACGCGGCTTCGTGGCTGCGGTGGTCGACCACGAAGGCAAATGCAAGACGGGCGTTACGGTTGAAACCCAACACGCAGAGACGACCGAGGAGGTGGCCATCGCCCTTCCGGTAGCCATCACTGATACCGAAATAGTGATCAGTGACTCGCAGGTGGCGATACAAAACTAGGCTAACCGCTGGGTGTCGCGGGAGGCGCTGCATATATTGACGATCAGCGCGGTAAGAATACGAAACAAAAATGATACATTTGTGATATGGACACCTGCCCACACGCACTGCCCTCTGGCCGGCAACGAGGCTGTAGACGTGGCGGCTCGAGAGCTCACGAACCGAGCAGTTGCGCATGCCGATGCCGCCTCTAGCGAGGCCACACGCGGGAAAGTGTGCGAGTGGGAGGAACGTGTGACTAGCTACAGTGAGATTACGCAGCACTGCAAGCTCGGTAGGCGTAAATACCCACCACCACATAGCAAATTAACTAAGAAGCAGTCAGTTGCATGGAGACAATTCCAAACAGACACTTTTCCAAATCCAGTGATCTTTCGCCTCTGTTACCCTTACCTGTATTCGACAGATAAATGCAAAGCATGCGATTCCCGAGCAACCCTGGGGCATATGTTATGGGAGCGCTCGAGTCTCAATGACACAGTCAGCAGTACAAACGAGGAGGCAGTCTCGAACCGCCGGGCACGCTGGGAGGTGGCTCTGCTTAGCCCCGCCTTAGAACAACTATGGGCCGTCCAGCGAGCCGAAGAAGCCGCGCGAGCCCAAGGGGTCGCGGCCGATGCCTAGGCCGGGGTTCAAGCCCGCTCCGATTTCTCATCGCCGAATTCTTAATAAATGTTGTTTCTCTCTCTCTCTCTCTCTCAACAACGCACAGAAAAAATCTCCCACCAGCGCCACCTTGCAGGTCAAAGCGTAAGACATGTTACGTACTACGACGAGGGACGAACGGGTGCCGCTTTAAAAAGCTTCGCCCCTAAAAACCCTTTTTTTCAGCTCGTAATGAACCAAATAAATAAAAATTTGTGGGAAAATGTTCCTCATCGGACACCAACAACTTCCACGGTCTAACTAAAATTCTGTATGGGGCCTGATGAGTGCCCTTTAGGATATTGTCGGAACGGTGCTTGAAGAGCGCTCCTCTAAGGTAGTTGGAAGCTGGCGCCGATCCTGATAAACGTGTTTCTTCGTGGCCATTTCCTTGCTTCTGCTGCAATTTTTTTAATTGTGAGTCTTTCCCAACTTGTTTGAACCAAGATCCTTTTTTCTACGCGACTTCGGCAGTTCTACACATGAACAACAAAATTGCATATAGAATGATTGAAGTCGGTGCGAGTTTCACCGCTACATCATGCATTGTGGTCGCTTTCAATTTTCGTAAGTACAATCGAATGAATCCCTCTATATTTGTCTTGCATTCGACAACCACGCGTTTTTCGGGGTGTCTCGGTGATTTATTGATTACATTCATGATCGAAAGACGTGAGGCGCCTATCCAGTTATGGGGACTCGTAAACAGTCGGTAGGATGAATAGTGATTAAAATGAAGTCAATCCGTAGTAAAGCGCAACATGTGACTTGTAACGAATGGCTTCTTCACTAGAACACCGTATCAAATATTGAAAGTAAATCTTTCAAAATAAGCATTTCAAAAGTTAGTGCATCTAGCAATAAATCGTGCAAGGCTGCGTCACGTTTCGGATGCTGCAACGTGGCGGCAAGTTTCAGCTTCTGTCGTCAGCCATCCGTACAGAATACTCGGGAAGTCAGAAACGCGTGCATATTGATATTTTTTAATGCGAATGTATTTCTTATTTGGGCTATATGTCAAACGTCCGTCGGGATCCGTCCACCGCCCTCTCCCATTGAAATAACTGTGGGTGCGCTCGCCCCTAGCAACAGGTGCCCCCATGATGATGATGATGATGATGATGATGATGATGATGATGATGATGATGATGATGATGATGATGATGATGATTCCACGGCCTTGGCTTGTACCCACTCAGGGGGATCGGCCAAGAATCGACTTCTTAATTCAGTAAGATTTCTTTTATATTCAATATCGAAACCACCCACAGGAGAAAAAAAAGAAAGACACCCTAGGCAGAATGAAAGGAATGCAAGAGTTGTTTGTCACTCGTTCAGATCAGACAATCCTTCATTACATTGAATAGGCATTAGCGTGGTTAAGCAAAGCTGCTGTTTGGGTTGGATTATTTTGCAGAAATAATAATCACGCAATTAAAAGCTGAATTGTTTTACTTTCATTAAGGTACACTTGCAAACTGCATAGAAAACGTTCTCGTGGCTGAAGCCCAGATCGGAAGAACCGAAGGAAAGTATTTTTTCAATTGTGAAGTTCAGCCCAGACTAGCGAATGGGAGGACGAAGAGTGTTTTTCTCAGCAATTGGTATCGGCGACATGATAAAAAATAGTACTCTGTTGTTTCTGATTCTGAACAAAAGTTGCATAGCGGTGATATCGCCAGACTAGCCCTATGTGAATAGAAACTTAACGGGGGAACACGACATTGGAATCTGGTTACTATGGTTTCAAACTGTCTTGTAGGACACCAAAAAATTTTCTACGAAAATCTAAAGTGAGTAAATTCTGGTGTTGACATTATTGCTTCTATAGTGTCTGCACGAAGCACGAAATTTCTCCACCATGTCACGCTTCGTAGCAGTCAGCAACCGCTGCGGGCGCACTCACTTATTTTAACCACGCACGTAGCTACTAGAACTGCAAACGCATACCACGTTTCTCGTCTCTCGCGATACATAAATGCCATGGCGCCAGGGAACAGCGCTATTGGCTGTACGGTGTAAACTATATTCTTATAACGCTGGGTTCTCACGTGCGAAATGCGGTAATGGACGCTTCACAATGCACTTGTTTTTCTCACAATTTCCTTCGGAGAGGTGGGGGAATTTTCTCTACGGCCCATGGCAAGCCACACTGATAAGAGATTAGCTGTGGTGTGGTGGTTCATAAAACGCGCATATTTCACAAAATGAGGCAAATTCCTTTAAGGTAAAGTTTTTCTTTTTAAGCGTATTGCAAAATACCTGAATGGTCACTCGTACAATCACCATTCAGTATATGCCATAGGGGTCTACATACGGTACTCAAAATGTCTGTGTTTCAATACGCCAGGGGCAAAGATCTCAGGCGACATTGCTGCGATCGTAGTATCACCCACGTAATTGAAGGTTCGCACATTTAATGCGTCTTTATAGGGCTCTTTTCATTTGGAAGAAAGTCAGAGTAAATAAACCGAAGTAGTTTAAGGATAATTCTTCAGCAATAACACCTACATAACTTGAACAGAGTTTGCTCTCACTCACAGTCCCTGATTTGACGCTTTATTTCTTCTTTTGCAGAAGTTGTGAATACTCCGTAGAAGAAGGCTGCCCCTTTGAACGAGGGCCTCTGTCGTCCTGTTTCTTCAGGGGCTCCCGCACGATGCGTCGCACAAGAGGCTGTGGAGCACGCACGTTGCACTCAATTGGACCATCGGATGACTTCTGCGGATCGACTTTCTCCTCGTACGACATCAGCGTGCGGAATGCTGCCAACTGTTCGGGTGACACTTTGGTGGGCTGCTTGTATAAAATCCAGGTGACGTTCTCGTACCACGGTGGTGTCGTCAGCGAGCCTTCGTACGTCCAGTAGCTACTGCTGGTTGGAATCGGTGAGGAGACGTCTAGAGGCTGCTGCAGTACCCGCTTCATGCCCTTGTGCTTGATGTGCGGGATGCAGTCGACGACGCTCCGAAGCAGCGGGCTAGCTGCACCTTCTTCCAAGAACACAGCCACCACGGCGAGACCCTCTTCAGATGAAGCTGCCTCCACGAATGACTTGTACTTGTCGGCGTTGAAATGAACCCAGTGCAGTTCACCGGCATACTGCTTCCCGTCGACACGGTGCTCGCTGCCGGTGTTGTTGGTCTTGCCCCAGTGGGCATGAAACCGATCCAGTTGGTAGTGGTGTTGCAGAGGTCCCCCGCGAAGGTTTGGTTCCGCCACCTTGACGCTCACTTCCCATGTGTTACCGGTGTTGGAGATGCTCGTAGACAGTAGGCCAGTATCGTCCCACTGCAACGGGTTGTCCCTCAAATAGGGATCAGGTGTGACGTCTTTTGTCACAATATTAACAGGTGACTGCTTGTTTCTAATGCGTTTAGTGCTATTTGCCATACTCTTCGCTAAATAGCACTTAGGAACGCAGTCAAACAGCGTGTTTACGGAGGACATGCCTGTGGGAGGGCAAATGCGCTTGAAAAATTTCCAACGAAAGTTAAAACAGGGACGAACCTTGCCTTTGGGAACGGTTTCGTAAACGAGCTTGACGCCGCCGGAAACGCATCTCTCACGAAGTAACGATGATGGCAATGATCCTCTTCTTCATGTAGCTTACTAACTAAGGGGCAGAAACTGATCGGCAGGCAGTTTCATTACACAAAAAATTGGATGAGTACTTGTCGTTCCCCAGACGCGTAGGCAAGCTGCCGCACATCGTCTTCTTCTAAACCAGCTTCCAAAAAAATGTCGTTGCTATCGAGGAATTAAGTAAAAACAGTCTCCATACTCTCTCTGCCTACAATTTATAATTGACTATTCAATTTAGAGTCTTAAAAACACCAGCTAACATCAAACATCAACATCAAAACATTAGCCAAATGTTGAGCATGACGTGGAGAGCCTTGCTAAAGCTTGTCTTGTAATGAAATGGTGGCGAAAACCTGCATGCATTCTAATAAAGGTGAAAACTTTTGACTGACCTTTCTTGTAAATCTAAATATTAGCATCAATATTTTTTTTCACCTTCAGCGACCTCTTCATTCATGTTTCTACATCATATTCAGCATGGAGAAGACTCACATATTAGGCGAGTTAATGAGGTTTCATAATAAAAAAACGGCCCATGATTCACTGCAAATGTCGTCGAAACGCGATGGCCTTGCGTCTGGATAGAATAAATATAACATTTATTGGATGTTCTTGTTGTGTTCTGGGTTTTCGGTTTCGGTTTTGGAATGACATGTGAGGATGCCAGGGGGCGCCGCTCTGGCATCCAGGACTTCAAGGCGACTAAACGAGTGTGCGTTGGGTAACCGTGGAGCGCGGTTGTTGTTCTCTTCGGCGCTTCGCGCTAACCCGCGTGTTCGGGCTGGTCGGCGTCCCCGCCGGCCGCGTACGTCTCCGTCTGCCGTCTTCTTCTTCTGCTTCGTCGGGACCAGCCAGCCCCCAACTGAGCAATGGCGACGAGGACGTGTAAAAACCCATTTTTTTCTGCGTGTTCGTCTTTTTCTTGCTTCTTTTTGAACTATTTTTTCAGATTGGCTTCATTTTCATTTTAGTTTCATTTAAGTATCCTGCCGCCCGGTTCTTGGCCCATCCCCCTCTGTGGATGAGCGCCATCCATAAGAGGTCATCATCATCATCATCATCTTGCTTCTAACGGACCTACCCTGCTAACCCTAGACGCTCTTTGTTCCCAGCAAGATGGCTGCTGCATGCTGCGTCGCTTCATTCCTTCTTCATTCAGCTACGCCGCCTCTGTCGTCTTCTTCAAACAGTGTACTGGCGTCATTTTCTTCTCGTCTGCACCTCTCCATTCTTCTTGCTTGAAATGGCGTCTACTATTCCACCTCCCCTATTTCTTCATTCGCCCGGAGACCCGGCACTTCTGTGGGCGGACTGGAAATTGGTGTTTCAGGCCTACTCAGATGCGGCCGGGGAGGACGCCAGCAAGCCCGAGCGTCGCAAGGCCCAGCTGCTCAACGCGTTGGGCCCTGCCGGGTTAAAGCTCTTCTATACTTTGGACGCCACCAACGCGTTGCCGACGCCAGCGTCGGGCGATGCCTTCAAGAATGCTGTTGCTTTTTTCGATGAGCATTTTAAAGATGTCTCGTGCGATTATCTCGCAGGCGTAGAATTCCAAGAAAGGCGACAACTTCCTGGCGAACTAGTCGCCGAGTTCATTACATCTCTTTGAACGCTCGCCGCGTTATGCGGCTTCGGCGCGCTCGAGGACGATATGATCCGCCATCAGCTTTTCACCGGGGTAGCCTCGCAAAACGTCCGCTGCCGCATGCTTCAAAAAGGCTCCTCGATTTCATTATCCGAGGCCCTCTCGATTGCGCGAGAGGACGAGCTTATTCGCTCCCAGTTGGAGCAATTCGCTCCGCATTCAGTGCAGCAACTTTCTGCTGCGGGGGGCCAAGGCGGTGGCTCTTTGTTTCACGGGACGCGTCAACATGGCGGCCCTTCATCTTCGTCTCGGCGCGGTGGCCAACATGGATGCCCGCCTGCACAGTCCTTCCGTGGCGGCCAACAAGGCGGCCTCTCTGCGTCGCGGGGGCGAGCGAGAGGCGACCCCATTCCGCCATATCCTGGTTTTCAGGAACAGCACCAAGCTCCTAACTCGCATTTGCAATTCTCTTCTCCAAGCGCAACCGCGCATTGCTTTCGTTGCGGATCGGCTCGGCATTTGGCCAATTTTGCGCAGTGTCCCGCGAGAAACCGCACTTGTCTTGCGTGCGGAAAAATCGGACATTTTCAGTCCGTATGCAATTCCCGTCCAGCAAATCTTCCTGAACCAGTTTCTTCATCCGCTCCTTCGAGCAATGCACAGACCAATACGGTCACTGTTTTAAATGTGAATGGCCTCAACACTACGTCCGAGCCCAGTATCCTAGCTTCAGTGGGCCATGTGCCCTTGTCATTTCTCGTGGACACTGGTGCTCAGTCTCTTTAATCAGTGCCGCTGACTTTCATAGTCATTTTTCCAACATTTGGCTTTTACCTTCACACGTCGTTCTAGAAACATATTCCAAGGAAACGATTGATAATTTAGGTCATTTTACAGCTCAGGTCTCCTATCGCAGTCACACTGTTTCCATTACTTTTTATGTAACTGCATATGGCAGCTCGCTTTTGGGACGTGATGCCATCAGGGCTTTGTTCATCAACATCGTCGGTGCGTCTATGACGTGTGCTCAAGTAGACGTCCAAGATGATCTTCCGGCCAACGCGCCTTCTGAATTCCACCAGCTGTTCACCCGTGAACTGGGTTGTGTGTGCGGTTTTTTGCATAAAATGATGCGTCGACCAGGTGTGTACCCTGTGCGTGCAAAGCTGCGCCGCATTCCTTTTCTTCTCCATGAGCAAGTCTCTGCGGAACTGTCTCACCTTCAAGCCAGCGGAATCATCGAGCCTGTCTCTGCTTCCGACTGGGTTTCTCCACTGGTCATCGTCAAGAAAATAGATGGATCCCTTCGACTATGCGTCGACTTACGAGAACCGAACAAGGCGATCGTCATAGATGGTTTTCCACTTCCTCACATTGAAGAACTGCTTCATCAGCTCTCCGGAGCGGTATGTTTCTCCAAGCTGGACCTCGCGTCCGCTTATCACCAAGTTGAACTTTCTGAGTGCAGTAGATACTTAACCACATTTGTATCGTACAAAGGCTTGTTTCGGTTTCGCCACGTGTGTTTCGGGCTTGCATCTGCATCTGCAGTGTTTCAGAAAATGATGTCAATTATTCTTAAGGGTTGTAATGGCGCCCTTTGTTACTTGAATGACATTTTGATGTGGGGACGTACTCGCGAAGAGCACGATGCTAACTTGCATACTGTTCTCAACCGCATCAGTGATTGTGGTATAAAACATAATAACAAGTGCATTTTTTCTGTGGATGAGTTACAATTTCTTGGAGATAATGTCAGTTCCCGCGGCTTGACACCTGTTGAATCTAAAGTTCAGGCCATTGTCAATGCCCCATGGCCTACTGATGCCAAAATCTTGTAATCTTTTTTAGGTCTTGTTGGTTATTATGCCAAGTTTGTTCCTCACTATGCTGATGTTGAACCACTGCGTACTCTACTTTGTCAAGCACAGCCTTTAAACTGGTCAGCTGAAGCTGAGCAGAGCTTCATTCAAGTTAAGTCAACACTGGCCTCAAAGCCATCTGTTAGTATTTTCAATGAGAAGCTTCCCATCGTCATGATGACAGATGCGTCCGACGTTCGACTGGGAGCAGTGTTTCAACAACTCAGAGGTGATCAGCTGATCACTATCGCTTTTGCATCTTGTACATTGACCCCTGTTGAACGCAGATATTCAGTAGGAGAGCGTGAAGCTCTCACGTGTCTGTTTGCCTGTGAGAAATGGCATGTTTACTTGTGGGGCCGGCACTTCACATTACGTACATATCACCAAGCACTAGTTGCTCTTCTTTCTGCAGGATCCGTAGGCCGCCGCCCCATTCGCATTTCTCGTTGGTGTGCCAAACTCATGTATTATAATTTCAGTGTTCAATATTGTAAAGGTTCTAATAACGTGGTTGCTGATGCACTGTCGCACCTTCCTCTTCAGCTACCGGTTACTAAAGAGCGGGATGAGGAAGTTGTTTCATTAGTTACTTCGCGCATTACTAAAGCTGAGCTTCAGGCAGCTACAGTTCAAGATTCCACTTTGTCTCAAGTTCTCAAATATTTACGTGAAGGATGGCCTTCCAAATGTGCTTTTGCATCTGAATTCGTGCCTTACTTCGCAGTCCGACAGGAACTGTCTTGTGTCGAGGGCTTGCTTTTCCGCGATGAACGCGTGATTCCCCCTGCTTCTATCCGTAACAAGCTAATACAGCTTGCCCATGAGGCCCATCCAGGCATTGTCCGCACCAAACAAAATCTCCGAGACAGGTACTGGTGGCCAGCCTTAGACAAGCAGGTCGAGCATGCAGTTTAAAACTACCATATATGTCAGGCAGCTGACAAGTCTGCCAAACCTGCATTTTCTCTGTTGCAGCCAGTCCAGTGGCCTGATCGGCCTTGGCAGAAACTTGGCATGCACATCATCGGTCCTTTGCATAAAGTTCCGTAAAATGTCTGGTTCATTGTTTCTCTCATCGACTACCATTCCGAATGGCCAGAGCTTTGTTTCACACATACGGTTACTTCTGAGGTCATCATTGAATTTCTGTCTTCATTCTTCAGCCGGGAAGGTTTTCCGGATGCCATAGTTACGGACAATGGTCCACAGTTTCAGTCCCAACATTTCGAGGCTTTTCTTTCACAACGAGGAATTCAGCACTTGAGGTCATCAGTTTTTTATCCCCAATCAAATGAGCAAATCGAGCGCTTTAGTCGCGTTCTGAAGGAACATATCCAGATCGCCCAATTAGAGCACCGTCTCCTCAAGCAAGTCTTGACTGAATGTTTCGCTTCGTACAGGTTAACATTACAAGGCACCACTGGAGTGTCTCCTGCTCAACTTCTCCACGGTAGGCAACCGCGAGTTGCTCTCGACATAGTCTCTTTGCCTCGTAACATAGCAGTGTCTTCTCCTGATCAAATCCGTACCAGAGTTTTTCTCATCAACAAGCAATGAAAAAGTATGTCGACACCCGTCGAGGTGCAAAGCAGTCCAAAGTTCGCACTGGCGATCTAGTCAAGGTTCGTGTGCCAGGCAAGCGCCCCAAGTATCGGGGTCCTTACAAAGTCTTGGGCCAGGTTAGCCCCACTTCTTTTCGCTTAAGTGATGGTAACATCTGGAATGCTTCGCGCCTTGTTATTTTTCATGCGGATTCGCCTTCAACACCTAAATGTCTTCCCCATCACGTTCCTTCCGCGCCTTTCAACTATCCATCAGATTATTACATGTGGCCTCCATGTACAGGCATTTCTTCAATGGGGGAGGAGTTACCAGTCGGTGTCGCTGGTTCAAGTACACCAAGTCATACGGTTCACCTCGAACCTTCAAATACGGCTGAGACCGTTGAACCGGACTCCGGTCCACGAAGTTCTTTCGAAGTTCATGCTGTGAGCTCTGATGAGACCGCGAATTTTGACGCTCGTTCAGAGCCTTCACAATCTTCCACTGCTCTTGATGTGTCACATCAGAGCACAAGTGACCAATGTGCACAGACACCTGATTCTACACCCAAAAGGGCCTGCCCTAAGCGGAAGCGGCAGAAGCCGCGTCGGTTCGAAGACTACGTGATGTAGAGCCCTTGTTCATTACTGTTGGGAACATTATTGTTCTGTGAAAAGGTTCAATGCATTGAAATAAATATTGTACTGAGTTGTGTACATCTTTTCAGTGCATTTTCAGGACTCACAGTCTGTGAGTTCTGTGTGCCGTGATCTGAATTTTCATGTGTTCTAACGTACATACATTGTATAATACGTTGGTATCCATCATGTATAATATAAACAGTGTATTGGTGAGCTTCTTTCGAGGAGGGGATGATTGTTGTGTTCTGGGTTTTCTGTGTCGGTTTCGGAATGACATGTGAGGATGCCAGGGGGCGCCGCTCTGGCATCCAGGATTTCAAGGGGACTGTAAAATAAAAGGAGTGTGCGTTAGGTAACCGTGGAGTGCGGTTGTTGTTCTTCTCTTTGGCCGCGTACGTCTCCGTCGGCCGTCTTCTTCTTCTTCTGCTTCGTCGGGACCAGCCAGCCCCCAACACAGCAGTTCTGCGAGAGAAAATCGGTGAATTGAATTGTATTCTTAGGGCGCTGCGTTAGAATGCCTTGATCCGTGCAGCGAAGGCAACTCAGCACATCAAGGCACGTGAGACTCGAGCGCTATCTGGCAGTTATCTTAAAAAACGAAGGAAGGTGTGCGCGCCTGTCTCGGAGGCGATAAGGTGTAGAACACAAAGCAATGGGCAGTTGCCACCACCGTGTTATCTTAGCAAAGCGTTGGCAACACTAGCCTTTTTGTGCATAGCCTTGAATTTTCAGCGCAGTGTTATCAAAGCTACGGTCCTTGGAATCACTTATGTATGCCTTCCCTAGTATAGAGACACGCATAAAAATATTGACGTGTTGTTATTGTTCCTCAGATAAGCGCAATAATTGCTTTATAGTTGACACTCGCACAAGTATGAACGCTGAAACTTGAGCAATATTGGTAGGCGCTTCGTATGAAGTTGGATTTTGGTCGTTTGGGGTATTGTTTAGGAGGGCAAACAGACAAATGTGCAGACAGACAAACAGACCAAATTTTTGTGTCGAAGTACATAGAAAAAGACCATTGTCTTCAAATATGAATCACCGCTTCAAAGAAGGTCGCAGAAAAAGAGGTACACACACGCGACACTCAGCCCCATATGTGTTTCTTCCATGGGTCTTGCGTCCGCGATGTATGTAGTCGTCATAGCAGTAGGTAGCCACTTCCACAGCTGGGCTAGAAGAGTGGCAAACGCGTTGCTTTTTAATTGAAGAGGAAACCTGCGCACGTTAATCATAAATAAAAAGATAATTGTCACTGTTAAGTCACCTAGAGAGACGAGTATTGGTGACTTATTCTCCAATAAAATTGTTCTTGAATTTGATGCTTACTGAAAACAAACTAGTATCAGAAGGACGCACTTTGGGCACTATCTGAGCAGAAAGGGTTGCCATGTTAAACTTGCTCGGTGTAACCTCTTTGCCACTATAAAGAGCTTCGCCCTGTGCTCGTGTTCCCTCGTTGTCGTCGTTAGTGTCTCAGGGCGTCCCTGGGTTGGCGGACGCCCGTAATGGCAAGCCAGCCCCCAAAGAAGGCGCTAGCCTTCGACGTAGTCGTCCCCGAGGGGACTAGTCCCGAAGACGTCATTGACGCGACGTCTTCAATAGTAGGAATTGAAGAGGTCTACTGTGTACAGCACTTTGGAGGCCGGAATTACCAAGTCACCATTAGCAGTGAGTCCGCTCTGGCTCAAATCGTCGATGCGTCCCACCTCATCATCAGAGGAGAGCGCGTTGCTGTCGTACCCTTGGGACCCCAAGTCACTCAAGTCACCGTTCTGTTCCAGCCGTGCCGCGCCCCCAGCGAGGTCCTCACGCAAGCATTGTCTCCCTATGGGAAGGTGCTGCACATCAGCAGAGAACTCATGGGGTCGCGCCCAACCGTGACCACTGGGACGCGATTTGTCTGGATGGAAATTAAGACATCGTCGCCGGTGCCTAACTACCTCAAGGTCGCTGGCCATCGAGTGACCTGTGACTATAAACGGATCCAGCGAGTGTGCCGTCGATGTGGAGACAGTGGGCACTTCCGCATGAATTGCACAGCTCCGTTTTGTGGAAGGTGCGGCGTTTACGGCCACGACGGGAAGGGCTGCTCGCTGCCGGGTCGCCGTTGTGGTGACCCGCATGCCACCGTCGCCTGCACCATCAGGCCGTCGTAATCCGAGGCGGCCTCTAAGAATTAGTCGCCACCTCATTCAGGCAAGAATAAGGTCGTCGTATCATTGACGCCAGGCCCGGATATTTGCCAGGACGAAGTTGGGTGCATCACAATGCCACACCAGACGCCACACCAAACGCCCACAGCGTCTCTAGCCAGCCCCGACCAGGCAGCCCCTGAAGGTGCGGATGATTCATCTGGCGGCCCGCGACCAGTGGTGGTTTCCACAGAACCACAGGTTGAGCCTTCACCAGAGGAGGCCCCACTCGGCGAACGCGTCGCAGATGCTGACGTGATATCTGTTGCTCACCCCATGGCTGCCAAGTCCTCTGTTAGTCCTCCTATCATTGAAGAGACTTTGTACCAAGGTGACGAGGATTCCATCAACGAGGGCTCGAGCAGTACTAGGAGTGACACGGCCTTGCAGATAGACACCGTCAGCACTCCAAGCGACTTCAGCCGGGACAGTTTTGACGAATTTGTGCCATCTTCACTCAAGAACCTCGGCACCAAGCACCACCGAATATCCAGCAGCGACTCGGAGGCCCCCAGCAGAGACAGAAGTCCCCTGCGGACTTCGATGCGGCCTCGGAAGGCCCGTGCTTCCGGTGGGTCACCTGGTCATAAGAAGTGATTGAGCTGCTTGCGGGGCACACGCTCCCGCGTCTGTCAGAACTGTGAGTCTAGTATCCGAATTTGTCTTTATTGTTTACAATGGATACCGCATAAAATATTATTTCCTTCAACGTAAAAGGTTTTCGCAGTCCGGTAAAGCAGGCCGAGATGATTAGTGTAGCCCGTGCTACAAATTGTGATGTTTTATGTCTGCAGGAAACTAATTTCTGGTCACTGTCCGACATTAAGGCTTTTAAACAAAAGTTTAACCTAGATTGCTAGTTTCCTTTCGCTACAACTCGTTTTACGGGAGTAGGCGTCATTATATTTATTCGGGCTTTATTGAGAGGTCACCACGTTGTTTATGGCGGCGTCGGTAGAATTATTGCTTTAGATTGTACCTACTTTTCTTTTCGATTGAGAATACTATGTGTGTATGCGCCTGCACAAACTGGACAGTATAATAATTTTTTTTCGAAATTTGGATGTTTTTTTCCTAGACGGTCGTCATGTAATTCTGATCGGAGACTTTAATTGTGTGCTAAATATGCGATGCGATGTAGAAGGTCCTGGCTGGGGTTGGTCTGCTTGGAATTCACGTGAGCTGTGACGCCTTGTCCAGCATTTTTCATTGCTGGATGCGCATAATGTCATGCACGGGAATACTTTTGTTTGGACGTGGTGCCACGGACACTCCTCCAGCAGACTCGACCGGGCTTATATTCCACATGCTTTAGAGACGTTTGTCTCCGACTTACGTGTTCCGCCCATCCCACCTTCGCCTTTGTACATCGCTGACCATCGCCTGATTCTCTTAGAACTAAAAATTACATTTTCTTTTTCGGAGAAAGCATGGCGTCTTGATGTTCGCATCCTCCAGGACGTGTGCTCTCGGTCAAATTTGTCGCGTGCAATACGCGTGTCACTCGCTGCGTCTGATTCATTTGATTGGGATGCGCTTAAAACGCAGTGGCGCCTGCACTGCTCAGTTGAAGGGCGTTCCCTTCGTCATCGCGTTTCTGAGGAGCTGGCCGATACTGCAGCGAAGTTACGCATCGCCTTGCGCACTGAAACGCCGCCTCCGCTGATGCGAGCTTGGCAACATGAATTACGTGAACGCTTCCAGCGTTTGATTACCGCCTCGTCTCTGGTGGCAGCTGCATGGCGTTGTAGGCACAACCCTTGTGCCAACCTCGAGGTGCTTCGCTATGCGAGGCAATCGTGTTTTGGGCAGTCACAATCACCTGTTTTTACGACCACGCAGGCACCATCTACACAGCCGCTTCCTACGCGTGATCGATCTCTCTTACTGGCGCATTTTGAAGAGATGTCATGTTCGGCCATGCGGACAAACTGTGATACAATACCACCTATGCTCAGAGGTTTGCCTCCCGTTCCTCGACAAGCTGCTGATTCTGTGCACGTCCCTCCATCAGTTGAAGAGGTAAAGACAGCACTACAATCTATGAAACGGGGGACAGCCCCTGGGCCAGTCGGTTTTCCCGTTGAATTTTACTTGTCAGTTTGGAGTGAGCTTCGTACTGCATTAACCGCAGTTATCCGGCGATGTTTCGAGGATGGTATTTTTCCATCAAGTTTTCTTGATGGACGCATTGTGCTTATTCCAAAAGATTATGCTCCGTCTGTTAATTCTGAAGATTGGAGACCTATCACGCTTTTTAACGTTGACTATAAGGTATTCGCGACGGTGATCGTTCAACGTGTGAAGGCTCTGTTGAACACCCTGGTGGGTCATCAACAGGCTTTATCTATGCCTGGACGGGAAATACACAGCTTGTCCTTTACCACCCGGGATATTATAGCCTATACTCTGTCGCGCTCTGCGCGTGGTCTCCTTGTGTCTTTAGACCAAGAGAAAGCATTTGACCGACTAGAGCGCACGTATATCTTTAAAGTGCTCACAGCCCTTGGTTTTTCTGGTACTTTTGTTGAATTAATTAGACATACCTACTCTGTATAAAAAGCAAACTAGTTCTAGATGGTTGGGAGAGTGCTGCCTTTTCTATTACACGTGGAATCCGTCAAGGATGCCCCTTGTCTCCTGTTCTATTTGCCCTCAGCCTTGAGCCGTTTTTGTGGGCTCTACAAACAGATTCGCATGTCCGGAGTCTTGCACTTCCTGGCAGCATTACCGTGAAAGTCACAGCTTTTGCTGACGACATACCCCTGTACCTTTCAGATGAAGATAGTCTTTCGCATAGCCTGCGTTTATTCTTCCTGTATGGGGACATTTCAGGTGCCGCGCTAAACGTCTCTGATTCCCGGTATTTGTTCATTGGCAATCCCAACTCCACACTTAGCTCCACATCTCTTCTTCATCCGGCTGCGTCTCTTCGCAATTTAGGAATTCTATACAACCACTACGGCGTTTGTAACTCCGTTTGGTCAAACGACCTCGATGAAGTAAAACGAAAAATTGAGAACGCCCGGGAATTTGGCTTCCCGCTTCTTGAGCGGAGGTACCTTGCACAGACTGTGTTTTGCGGTCGCATTTGGTACCTTTCTGACGTGGAACAGCCGCCTTTACGCATCGTGAGGTCATTGCAGTCAGCCTTGTGTTCCTTCTTTTGGTATGGTGGCACTGAGTTAGTTTCTCGTGTGGCGCTGGGACAGCAGCGTTCTCAGGGAGGTTTTGCTTTCCCTTCGGTATCCATATGCTGCCGGCTATTGGCCTTGCGCTTCCTGTTGAGCCTCGTACAAGGAGAGGAATCCCCGCCGGAAACTCTGGCATATTATTTTCTAGGCACTCACCTTCGGTATTTATTGCCTAATGTGCGCCTTAATCAGGGCCACAATCATTAGTACTTCATTCGTTTTTATGCAACAGCTGTCGCGTTTTTTCGTCATATCCAGTCGACTTGCCCTGAGTTAGATGTGTTAGACAATCCTATCGTTGACACAACAGCCGCTTTGTTGCTCTGTTAGTTCCTCTGGCACGTCCGCACGCACTCTAGTCGTGTATCTTGGAGCACGCTGACTGGCATCATTTCTATCTGGCCACCTCCGGGACTTCATGTGGCGGCTGGGGTGGGGCGTTCTTCCTACCCTTGACCTATTAGAAGGTGGAGAATGGTCCAGTCATCAACATGTCCGAACTGCTCCTTACGGCAAACAAATCAGCATGTTTTATGACGATGCATCATTGCGCCTGTCTTCTGGAGGGTTGTGCATGCAGGATTTCGTGGCCTCGGAGTAAACCGCTTTGTTTCTTCTGGACGTTGTTGTCGAGGCCGCTTTGCCTGCCTCCTCATTGTTGCTGGTGCCTACTGTCTTTGGCGAAACCGCTGTGAAGCTGTTGCAGCAGGTCGTCGCCGCCTGGCTCTCTTCCCAATTTTGGAGCGACTGTACAAACAAATACTATCTGTTTTGTCAGTGGACCTCTTCTTTCTGGGAAAAGAGGAATTCCTTCGATACTGGCCCTGCCGTTTTGTGTTCGTCTGTGAGAGACGTGTAAGGCTTCTTTTCAGGCCTGCCTGGTATTGGTAGGTTGATCTTTGTTTAGTACTCATACAAATACCTTGTAAATAAAATGTAAATATCTGACACATAGATCTCTACATTTTATTTGTGTGTTCTTTGTTTACAATGTATTGTGCATACGTAGTAATTTCGTAACAATTCCTGTGTAGTTGTGTATGTTGTGTTCCGTTTACGTATGTAAATATATCTTTTTGTAACAAATTTTGGTGTGTCTGTGGATGTTGTGTTGTTCTGTCGCAATGTTCTGTTGGATCGTAATGGATGTTCACTGTCTGTGAGAATAAATTTGCCTAAAGAAGTTTAGCGAGGGTTGCGCCACAAAGCCATGAACTATAGCGGTGGTGAGAAGAGGGAACTAGACACGAAGCGCTGGCCGTAAAAAAGTGCGCGCGTGCCGCTCCTCTAGTCAGGCCGTGCCACCTTTCGTTTAGTCCTTGGAATGTCGGCTGGGGGGTGGTACTTTGACATGGGCTGCCTTTCCAATCCTTCCATTTATGTATCTTCTACAGGCCTCTGCGAATCTGTTATCAGGGTAGCCCGCGTATTCTTGCATGTAGCGATGGCAAGGGCTATGCCCAGTTCTTCCGCTGTACGCGGGTCCTTGGCACGTATGGATGCTACTCTCAATTCTTTGCTGTTTTCGTTGACCACGCTTATAGCAAAACGGTCATTTATAAGGTAAGCCAC